TGGCTTTCCCATTGCAGTGAGAGCCACGAGCCAGGGTGGGGACCTGATGTCGGATCTCTTCAACAAGCTGGTCATGAGGCGCAAGGGTAGGAGGCAGGGCCGCTGCCCGCCCTGGGCCGGCACATTGTAATTCTCTCCTGCCTTTTTCTTCATATGTTTAAGTCTCTGGGGGCTGGGGGAACCAGGGTTTCCCACCCACCACCCTCACTCAGCCTTTTCCTTCCAGGCATCTCTGGGAAAGGACCCGGGGCTGGTGAGGGACCTGGAGGAGCCTTCGCCCGAGTGTCAGACTCCATCCCTCCTCTGCCGCCACCACAGCAGCCTCAGGCAGAGGAGGATGAGGACGACTGGGAATCCTAGACCTGGGCCATGGCTCCGACCTGGACACAGCCAGGACAAGCTCCTCAGACCTGCTGCCCTAGGAGGGGGCGGTGATGGAATTGTCCCGGGACTGTGTGGGGACCACCTTCAGGGAGCGAGAGGCTGGCCTGAGGCCACAGGGCTGGGGCTGGGGCTTCTGTATGTCTGTGCTCCACCGGGGGAGGGCTCCACCCAGCCTGCACCAGTGTGTTCTTCTCTTCCCTAAAGAGGCTTCCAGAGAAAACAGCAGCACAAATCAAAGAAGAACTGAGCAGAAACCAACAGTGCACTTTTAATAAAGGACCGCTAGCTGTGCAGGATGCCAACGTCAGGGTCAGTGACTTTCCTCCTGCCGCTGTTGGTCCCTAGGCAGTGGGGGCAGAAGATCTCAGCTGACCATGATTCCTTTCCCTGGGGTCAGAGGAGGAGAGGTGCAGTCAGCAGGGGCAGCTGTTGCAGGGGGGAGGGGTAGTCTCCCACAGAAAAAAGCTTTCAGTGACAGACACGGGGTCTCTAAAAATAGTCATGCTGAGAGCCGAATGGCCTTTGGCATCATTGCTGGTGTTGGCGGTAGAAGGTGTCTTGGAGTTTGCTCAAGTGGTTGAGAGGGAGGGAGGTGCCATCGACTTGTAGGAACTGGCACCAAGCCAGGGAGATAGAAATCCGGGGAGGGCTGTGGGGCGGGTTAGGGGCCAGGGCTGCAGAAGGGGTGACTCAGGAAGAAGGTGGGAGGTGACAAGGCCCCAGGTGGCAGCCCTGTGACCTCGGGGATCTTTTTAAATTGAGACTAGATGGTGAGTAGTCCAGGGCAGCTAACTTCAGCTATTATAAAAAGGGCAGAAGCAGATAGGCGTGCTCCATCTCGCCTCTAAGAAGGTGGTCAGGACAGAAATGCTCAGTAGAAGCCGCAGCCCGCACAGCCTCCTGCAGAGGCCCAGCGAGAAGCCTGGCCCTCCGCCACGTAGGATGGAAGACATTCGATTCCACAGACGGGAGCTGCCCTGGGAAGACCTCAAGGGTGGCCGGGACCCACCGTTTCTTCAGGATTCACCTGTTTCCACCTGTGGGCACTAACGCCTGTGCCTGGGTCCTGGCAGCGCTCCGGCATACTCCTGGCTTTCACCTTTGTAGTAGGATCCCTGCAGAGCAGGCCCACGACAAACACAGTCTCCAGCAGGCAGGGCAAAGGAAGGGCGCAGTGCCAGGCCGTGGTGCAGCTGCCCATCAGGAAGAGGCCGACTTCTCCCGCTGGAAATGGGCAGGGAGAAGGCAGTGAGAATGGGATCTTGGGGTGGTGGAGGCTCTCGGGAAAGGAAAAGGGAGGATTGAACTTCCACACGGCAGCAATGGCAGAACCAAAGGTGGCTGTGACCTCCATGAAGGCTCGGATCCAGGCCGGCAGCTTGGCCAGGACGGGGCGGGGCATATCACTGGTCCAGGAGCACTGTGCTGGCAGAATCCCTTTGGTGCCCGATGGCCCTGCCCTCATGGGACAGGAGGCTAGAGCTCTGAGTTACAGCTGCCTTCCCAACAGCACATTTCCATGGCATCTCCCTCCCCTTCCTCAGCCTCAGGTGGGAGACAGGGCAGGCAGCCCCCCTTTCCTCTTCTCCCCTTCTCCAGCCCCCATCTGTCCAGCCAGCTGGAGGCAGCCAGGCTTGCTGTGGACTGGTTGATGGGCTTCTTGCAGAGCTTCTCCACCAGATCCTTCCCTGGGGACGCCTGG